CTAAGTGCAGGACGCTGCACTTATCCTTATTGAACCTCATCAGATTTCTTTTGGCCCAATCCTCCAATTTGTCTAGGTCCTTCTGTATCCTATTCCTCCCCTCCAGCGTATCTACCACTCCTCCCAGTTTAGTATCATCCGCAAATTTGCTGAGTGCAATCTACACCATCCTCCAGATCATTTATGAAGATATTGAACAAAACCGGCCCCAGGACCGACCCCTGGGGCACTCCACTTGACACCGGCTGCCAACTAGACATGGAGCCATTGATCGCTACCTGTTTACAATGGAACATTGACTTAATATAGCTTTGAAACTTTAGTATGCAGAAGAAAAATGCTACTTTCCCTTTTTTTTTTGGGTAGTTTATGTTTAACACAGCACTGTACTGTATTTGCTTTTTTTTTTTTTTGTCTCTGCTGCTGCCTGATTGTGGAAGTCCACTTCCAAATGAGGTGTGTGGTTGACTGGTCAGTTCATGACTCTGGTGTTCGTAACTCTGAGGTTCCTCTGTAATCATGATTTATGTGTGAGCCCCACACCCTTTCTTTGCCAGCCACACAAGTGGCTCAGCGCACACTCTCTTCTTTGCCTTCCTCCTTGTGCTTTCCTATTTATTTATTTAGATGGCTATTGAGCTCAGGAATGATGCTTCCAAGTCTAGTTTGACTCCTTGATCAATTTGGATCAGCCTTCATCCCTATCATTAATCTACGCTTGCTTCCAGCCATTGTGTATCGCTCATCGATCATTGTTCCTTTATAATCAAATGTGTCAGTCCCCTCAAATCCCAGCCTGTGAAATAGCCAGCTGCTCATGTGACTGCTTCAGATAATCTCTGGTCTTTTTGGAAAACCAGAATGGAGATACATCATCCTTCTGCGTGGCCAACGACTGTGGCAGGTGTAAGGTAGATTGCTGCAATACATGAACAGACATAAAGGACACAAACCCAGAGAAGTCAGTCTGCTTCGTGCTCAAGGGAAACAAACAGAATACCAAATATATTCTCCCCACAGAACTATGAATGACCAGGCTATTGCCCTGCTGTTCAGTGGGAGTAAGATTGGGCCCTAAAGTGGATCGAGCACTTGGCTGGGATTCGGGTGATCTGGGTTTTAGTCCCAGTTCTGCCACTGGCCTGTTGGGTGGCCTTGGGCAAGTCACTTCCCCTCTCCGTGCTACAGCTGGGGATAACAATACTGACCTCCTTTGTATAGTGCTTTGAGATCTGTGGCTGAACAGTGCTATGTAAGAGGTAGGTATTATCATAACTCACATTGAATAGTACCTTACTACACCCACACCTGCCACATTGATGTACATCACAACTCACCGCGAGTGAGGGCGGCACAACTGGGGGCTAGGGTTGAGATGCACTCCCATACGGGGGGAGGGGGGCTACCCAAAGACCAACACCACACCTCATTTCCATTCAGTCGCAACGTCATCTCACCTTTGCCCCATCCCTCTTCTGACTCTTTCCCTGGCCCTCTCTCCATATATGGAACCCAAGACCCTCTGAAGGGGGCTGTGCAGTTCAGGGCAAAAGGGGATGGGTGGGTCAATACTGCGAAGAATGCAGATTTCTTGTGCCTACAGGGGAGTGAGAGCTACGTGCAGGTCTAGAATGAGTCTACCCCCCGCCCGCAATTAACAGGGCTTGTACCTTTAGAGCACCTGTCCTGGGAGTAAAAAACTGGTTAAGAAACTGGAGACAAAGAGGAGAAATAAGCGACTCTATGTGGAATGGGGTTAATATTGGGGCATGCTGGGGCTTGAACATCATGGTGGTTAGGGTTTCTGGCCTGGCTCCCCAGCCCAGGAAAGACTGACACTGGGCTCACACTCTGTTCAGCCCTTTCCTTCGGGGCACAGCTTATTCTTCAGACACAGTAAAACAGTTCAGTGTAAACTCCACATATAAACTTAGTCTCCCCCACCCCATTGACCTGAGGTCTCCTGCAGGAGCCCAGAGACCTGTCCCCTTGCATGTCTCTGTCCCTGCTCCAAGGCCAGGCACAGGAGCAATCTTCCTCCTGCAATTCTCCCTCACCTGAGCCACTTGCTGGCTTTTACAATCCCTTGATCCGTCTCAGCTGAGATGCAGCTGATCAGCCACCAGTGAGGCTAGGCTCCATTCTCCATAAAGGGCCAGCCACCTTGGCACACAGTGTTCAGTACCTACACTAATGAGGTAAAAGAGGATTGACTAACAAGGAAGCGATGCGGAATTGTGAGGAAGCCCAGGAGCTCCTTCAGAACACAGAAATAATTCGCCTTGTGTTAGCCATGCCTGCTCGGTTTGGCACTCTGTCCCCCTCTAGTGGTGACTAGGCCAACCAGAGATTAATGAGCTTGCTCAGTTTGGCACTCTGTCCCCCTCTAGTGGTGACTAGACCAACCAGAGATTAATGAGCCTGCTACAGCTTTGGCTAACAGAGCAGGGTCTTTTAGCTCAGGCAGTAGAGGCTTGTGCATTCAGATCCAGAGGGTCCAGGTTTGAGCCCTGCTGCCGACAATCCACCCAGGGGCATCAGCATTATAGTTGATGATTAGTTGTCGCTTGTATTACGATAGTGCCTGGAGATCCCAAGCAAGATGGGAGACCCATTGGGGCTAAGCATGGCGACAGATTCAGCTGAACATAGGGTAACATGAACTGAAAGGAACAATTTAGGCTATTTGTGCACGCTGATGATTTCTGAATTAGTCCCAACCTGTCTGGGAAAATGATCTAGCTGTCATCACAGAGAGCTCAGTGAAGACATCAGCTAAATGTGCGGGAGTTTTCAGGGAAGCGACTAACCGGCTGAGAAAGTACAGCATCCCTGGGCAAATGGATAGGGTAGCATTACCTTGAGCAATGCGTTCAGTTTGGGTCACTGCATGTCAGAAAGACCAGCCATAGCAGGCCCGGAAAGGGCTCACCCAGGATGACGATTGTTAGAGGAGCAGGGGATGGGCAGAAGGGCTCTACCAGACAATAAGATTACCAGCTTTGGCCTATCAAATTGGACATTAGGAGGAGGAGATCAGATGCAACCCTGATGTAAGTGGCTGATGCCGACGGAAGTTGCATTTGCTCAAGCCCTGTTCCAGCAAAACACTTAAGCACATGCTTAACTTTAAGCACATGGTGCAATCCTATTGACTTCATATGCTTAAGTGCTTGCTGGATTAGAATATTACGGCAGGGCTCAATTTGGCATCAGATGAGCACAGGACTGGGAGCCAGGATCCCTGGGTACTGTTGAGAGCTCTGACACAGACTCACTGTTTGTCCTTTGTCATGTCACTTTCCCTCTCTGTCCCCCAACCTCTGGAATGGGGGTAATGACACTGCACAGCTTTAATCACACAGCAGTTCCTGCAAGAGCAGGGGTCTTGGCTTTGGGGTTACAGGGTAGTTATGTTCTGCCTGTTTGCACTGAAGCTCCAGTTAGGAATTGCATTCTTCTCATGTCCTGTCTTAAGTGTTATGTGGTAACAAGAGAGGCAGATTATTTCAGTAGTGGGTGCAATGATACCCCTTGGATGAAAGGTGCCATGCCAATACCAGCTACTATGCCAGCTATCCCCGCATTGTGTGTGTAGTTATCTGTTTGTTCTTACTGTACAAGAGGGAATGACTACATGGAAATACACCAGGACGGACACCTGAGGCAGAGAGACAGAAAGATGTAAGATGCTTTGAATCTAACAAGCTTATGTAGCTCAATCATAGATTCATAGAATATCAGGGTTGGAAGGGACCTCAGGAGGTCATCTAGTCCAACCCTCTGCTCAAAGCAGGACCGATCCCCGACTAAATGTGTAAGTCAATCCCATTCCTGGACGTAAAGTCAGCAATGATCCATCCAGTGAGCTCTGCTTAGATATTGTATTAAACTGCAGCCAGTAATGCGCACATCAACACTGACCAGATCTAAGTATCTAGTAACGGGTTAATTAATCAAATCTCACTTAAAGGAGACCAGAAACAGAGTCTGGCTCTCTGTGCTTAGCTATCTAATTCATTTCAGGTGAAATGTGTTCAGAAAGTCAGAGGAGGCTAGGTGGATCATAGCTTCAAATGACTCCTTTCCATTCAATGGGAAGTTAATTCACAGTAGGAGTGATTGCCTCGCTAAAACCTACAGGGGAGTTCACTGGATTATTCATCTTAAAATATTCATTGCAAATGCATTTTTCGTTTCCAGGCTTTAAAACTGAGAAGTGATGAGGCTGCTGCTAGTGCCGAAGCCCCGCGCCTCGAAGCCAAAACAAAATGTAGCAGCCTTGCCCTTAATGAGAACAACAGCATGTTCAGAGAGACTGTGCCACAGTGATTTGCAGCGAGGGCCCCTAAAGCAGAACATGCTACAAATTAACACCCACAGCACTTGGTGGGTTGGGTTCGAGTGAACGGCCGAGAGGCTCTTACGTAACCCCCTTCATCCGTAATGCATGAGGCTCATCAAAATTTAATGGCAGCCACTGGGGTATTTCTGGTGCCTCGCCTCAAAGTTCTCCAGGGGCCTGTCTACTTCCATTTCAGCATTTCAAGTCCATTTGGAAGACACCTAGTCGCTCACTCTCTGATGCTTGCTGCTGAGTGAGTTCCGGTTCTTAGAGGTCTTCAACTGCAATCTTTTTTTTTTTTAAACATGTGCAGGCTTCCACTGCAGTGCAGCCCCAAGTCCAAGCTTTCCCAAACTCGTGGCTAAGTGTGCATTTTCTGATCAGACTGCTATCGTATAGGTGAGACAAACAGCATCCCCTATGGTTAAGAGTGCTCAACATTTCCCATTATTTAACCTTGTTTTCAGTTGCTTGACAATATTGCCAAGCTTAAAACCCATTTAGGCTGACGTTTCCCACGCCGGCTGTCTGCCTCAGGATGAATTCTTCTGAGAAGTTTCAGCTAAAACAGTTCAGCTGTTTCCCAAGAACAAAGTTAGAGGAAAATATGTTTTGCCCAAGTTAAAAAAACAAAAAACCTCTTACCATTTTACTGAGAACCTCTAACATCTCCATGCTTTAGAACAGGGACTTGGAATTTGGCAGGGGGGCACCCTGGGATCCGCCTTTATTGTCCCCATGAAAATTTACACAAGTGTGGCCACATGATCAGCCTCTGAAAACAAAACAACAACAAAAAAAACCCCTCTCAGTTCGCACATGCTCAGTAGAGAATTGTTGGCGTTTGGCTGCTAAATTCACTGAAGATGCCAGCTGCACTGAGCATGCTTCAGCATCTCTCAGCTCCTAGGTGTGACTAGGCGGCACCTGAGCATGCTCCAGCCCAGGGATACAGGAGATCAGTGGGAATTTCCCTGCAGTTGCTGCTCCCAGCCCTAGGGGACAACTGTGGGACCAGGCTCAGGGAGACTGACTGGTGCTCTCAGTGCTCTGCAGTGGGTGCAAAGGCAGAAGGGCAGGGAAGGAGCCAGAGATGGGGGTGGGAGGGAGGCGAGGATGAAATGGGGACACTGGCAGGAGCAGGAGCACAAGTGTTCAGAAGTTAGGAGATATCAGAAATTAATCTAGCTCTGAGAAATACTCCCAGGTTGCATATAGAATCATAGAATATTAGGGTTGGAAGAGACCTCAGGAGGTCATCTAGTCCAATCCCCTGCTCAAAGCAGGACCAGCACCAACTAAATCATCCCAGCCAGGGCTTTGTCAAGCCAGGCCTTAAAAACCTCTAAGGATGGAGATTCTACCACCTCCTTAGATAACCCATTCCAGTGCTTCACCACCCTCCGAGTGAAATAGTTTTTCCTAATATCCAACCTAGTCCTCCTTCACTGTAACTTGAGACCATTGCTCTTTGTTCTGTCATCTGCCACCACTGAGAACAGCCGAGCTCCATCCTCTTTGGAACCCCCCTTCAGGTAATTGAAGGCTGCAATCAAATCCCACCTCACTCTTCTCTTCTGCAGACTAAATAACCCCAGTTCCCTCAGTCTCTCCTGATAAATCATGTGCCCCAGCCCCCTAATCACTTTCGTTGCCCTCCGCTGGACTCTCTCCTCTTTGTCCACATCCCTTCTATAATGGGGGGACCAAAACTGGACACAATACTCCAGGTGTGGCCTCACCGGTGCCGAACAGAGGGGAACAATCACTTCCCTCCATCTGCTGGCAATGCTCCTACTAATACAGCCCAATATGCCATTGGCCTTCTTGGCTAAGTCTACACTGCAATTAGACACAGCGCTCAGCTGTGGGGCTGTTTCACTGCAGTGTAGACTTCTGGGCTTGGGCTGGATGTCAGACTGTAGGACCCTATGAGGCGAGAGTCCTAGAGCTCGGGCCACAGCCAGGGAAGGGAAGTCTACACTGCAATGAAACAGCCTCGCAGCCCGGGGCAGCTAGCAGGGGGCAGCTGCAGGTTTTTATTTGCAGTGTAGACATATCCTAAGTGTGTAGCAGGTTTATACCATGGCTTGCTGCGAACTGTTTGGATAGACCAGCCCGTGTCGTCAGATGTTCAGCTGTGTGCATGTGTTCTCTCTGTGTGCTGCACTGGCTCTGACCAGATAGATTGAAGCCTGCTGTACGGGCTAACTGCCCAGCGAGCACAAGCCTTGGTTTAATAGCGAAAGTGCCCGGCCAGGTTTACTGCCGACGAAGCACAGTCCTAGCTCCCCGGATCAATGTCTACAGTTACACTAGTATGTGTATGTCCATGACAATGGATGCAGCTCAGTCAGTGGCGGGAGTTTCCACTGCCCCCTAAGGCCAGACGGAGGGTTAAGGCGAGGTAGCCCAACATTTATAGACTGAGACAAACAATCTGGGATAAACAATTTATGTCTCACCTTACGCGTTTCGGGACATGTTTGTTACCTCCCCTTGGACTTTCCGCCTGATGTTTCAGACAAAACATCCCTATTCACTGTTAGGATATAGATATTCAGGCCTGTCTGTAAAGGCCTATACTCTAAAATTTAGGTGTATTCTTATCACTTGGCTAGTTCTAGAGGTATAAAAGAAAGAAATCACTGTCTGCCGGTGTAAGGGCCTTCTCTTACTGTGACAGTTTGTGGCCCTGTGCTTAGGCTCAGGCCTTTGGCTAAGCAGCAGAGGCAGCCGTAAGCTGGGAAGCGACCGGTCACATCCTCACATTCCAAACTAGTCACATTGAAAGAAGGTGCTATTCGGCTGTTAGGAATACAATCCTGTCCTGATAGTTCCTATCACCTCCAGAGAAAGGGAAGTGCCTAGAAAATGTAAAAGGAAACTTAGTTTGATAGCATCCTGTCTGGCAAGAACTCACTTATCAATAGCTGGGATGTGAAATCCTCACTTCTTATTGTCTTGTCATTATAGTTCCCACTTTGCTGTTGTTTGTCTGTATAATCTCTGTCTGGTTCTGTGATTGTTCCTGTCTGCTGTATAATTAATTTTGCTGGGTGTAAACTAATTAAGGTGGTGGGATATAATTGGTTACATAATCATGTTACAATATGTTAGGATTGGTTAGTTAAATTTCAGGAAAATGATTGGTTAAGGTATAGCTAAGCAGAACTCAAGTTTTACTATATAATCTGTAGTCAATGAGGAAGTGACTGGGTGTGGGTGGGGGTGGGCATGTGGGTGTGTGAGATGGGAACAGGGAATGGGGGTAAGAAAATTGGAATCATGTTTTGCTAAAGGGGGAGATGGGAACAGGGAATGGGGGTAAGAAAATTGGAATCATGTTTTGCTAAAGGGGGAAATGGGAACAGGGAATGGGAGTAAGGAAGTTGGAATCATGTTTGGCTAAGGGTAGGAATGGGAACAGGGACACAGGTGTAAGGCTCTGTGGTGTCAGAGCTGGGAAGGAGGATACTAAGGAAGGAAACTGGAATCATGCTTGCTGGAAGTTCACCCCAATAAACATCGAATTGTTTGCACCTTTGGACTTCGGGTATTGTTGCTCTCTGTTCATGTGAGAAGGACCAGGGAAGTAAGTGGGTGAAGGAATAAGCCCTCTAACATTCACCACCTCTCTTTGTCCTTTCACTCCTGATGTTTCAGACAAAATATCACCATTCAGCACTTTTGTCAAACCATTTTATCGTGTGCTAGGCTGGGGGGTTCTTATGCTGTGTTGACATATTCAGTGTGTTTTAGCAATGCAAGTGCCGCGTTCGTGTACCGGACATTGGCTTGCAGGGGAGCATCTGCTCTTGACAGGGCCTGTCTGTGCGTAGAGCGTAACTTTGGCTGACTTTGGTTCAGGCCTCAGGCCTCGCACCAGGCCCATGCTTCAGGCTCTTTCTTTCTACTACAACCCGGAGTGTCCCTGTGTGGACAAGCCCTCAGAGAGCGCTGTAATGTTTTCATTTTTAATTCCACAATTTTTCATTATACATAATTTTTAAGACCGTGCATCATCCCAGGGAGGCCCTTCAGCACTGTGTTTTGGTGAGGGATGTCAGAGGCTGTCTCATTGCTGAGTCTTCTGCTTTTCATCATCTCATTATTATTATAGCAGTGCCCCAGGGGTGCGTCTACACTGCAAATCCAGGTGTGATTGTGTACCCATGCTAACCTCAACCTAGCTAGTGCAAGTAACAATAGCAGTGCAGATGAGGTAGCACAGACTTCAGCATGGGTACAAGCTGGTCAGGGACCCTGGGCACGTGCTCTGGTTGCTAGCCCATGCCGCAGCCCATACTGTCATGGGTTAATTGCTACTGTAACCCATGACAGCTAGATTAAAACTAGTAATGGATATGCCAACCGGTGCTACAATTGTACCTTCAGTTGCAGTGTAGACAGACCGAAGGTGCAAGGTGCTGTCCACTTACATGCAGTCCCCATCTTGAAAAGCTCACAATCTATTCTGATGTGTGGTGTTGCCCGATTTCTCTAAGTGGTGACTGATTCTATTACTGATTTCCAATTAATGACTGGGCTCTATGGGCTACGGTGGTCAGGCCAGATACCGTCGCTTGTGTTAAAAGAGCATAAGTGCGATACAATAAAACTCACTTGTCCCTCTTTGCAAGTGTTCAACCCTCACAGCACCCCCATGAGGTCCAGTCTATAAGTACTATAGCAGTTGGTTTACAGGTGGGGAAACGGGGGCACAGAGCAGTTACAGGGATCAGACATCAAGAATTATAGCATTCAAAAACCAGTCAGAGAACACTTCAGTCTCTCTGGTCACTCGATTACAGACCTAAAAGTCGCAATATTACAACAAAAAAACCCTTCAAAAACAGACTCCAACGAGAGACTGCTGAATTGGAATTAATTTGCAAACTGGACACCATTACATTAGGCTTGAATAAAGACTGGGAGTGGATGGGTCATTACACAGAGTAAAACTATTTCCCCATGTTTATTTTTCCCCCCTACTGTTCCTCACATGTTCTTGTCAACTGCTGGAAATGGCCCACCTTGATTATCACTACAAAAGGTTTTTTTTCTCTCCTGCAGGTAATAGTTCACTTTACCTGATCATTCTCCTTACAGTGTGTATGGTAACACCCATTGTTTCATGTTCTCTGTATATACAAAATCCTCCTCCTGTATTTTCCACTGCATGCATCCGATGAAGTGAGCTGTAGCTCACGAACGCTTATGCTCAAATAAATTTGTTAGTCTCTAAGGTGCCACAAGTCCTCCTTTTCTTTTTGTGGACACAGACTAACACAGCTGCTACTCTGAAACCGGACAGCAGTAGAGCCAAAAATAGAACCTGGGAATCCTGTCTCTATTTTTAAGGTTGCCCATCACCAGGGTGTCTGAGTTGTTCTTAAGACCTGGAGAGCTCTTGTTTGGTTGTTATTTTTATTTCAACAAAAATCTACAGTAAAAACTGCCGCCTACGACAATGTTCTGCCCCCTGCAGTCCAGAGCTAGTATTGCCAACTCCAGCTGCTGAAAAATCACAAGTCAGGGCCCCCCCAGATCATGAGAAATTTAATTTAATTTAATTTTTTCTTGCCTGGTTCTGATTTTTGAACTTTGAGGATACACTGGGTGGTCACATTTTCAACCCTTTCTTCACAATCAGGAGGGCTAGAAACGTTAACATTCTCTCAAAATAACATGCCTCCGGGAGCAGGAGCTTTAAAAAAACCTGCCAGTTATCACAAGAAAAATCATAAGAGTTGGCAACCGTGACCCCACCTTCCCTCCAAAATGGCAGATGACCTTTGGTCTCTGCAGCTACACATCCTTACATAGCAGCCACCGCTCCTGCATAGCATCTGAATACCTAGGCACTAAACCATCTGGGATCACAACTTCCCTTTTTCTTGCCCAGCTGTTTGCTTTCTATAAGTGAGCTGAATAAGTGAGGCATTTACACAGAGCTCCCCAAATGTGTCTGCTAAACAAACTGGATTCATGCCTCAAATATATGCAATGTGGATTTTTAGAGCACTTAGGAGTCAATCTTTAAACAGAAAGCTGGTCTAAACCTAAGTTCTAGTAGACCTATTGGTCCACCATCATAAAGAGCTTCGGGAGGCGCTGCAGATGCAGGGGGAGATCAGAACCCACCTACCTGTGAGAACTTGCACGAGTTCCCTCGGACACGAGGGAAGACTGACTATCACATCAGAGATGCACGTGTTCGCTGAAACGTTCCTTGCTGCAAACACAAGTGGCGAGAACTGGACGTGGGTTGTCGTGGGAACAGCATTGCTAAGTATCCCCCATCAGCCTGCAAATGGAGCAGGGAAATAACATTAGCATTCTGAAGCATGCCGATTATGTTTACATGATGAGCAAGAGCAGGTCACGGTCAGCTTCTAGGCGGAGCAACTGGCAAGTCAGAAGTGCCGCTGGCATCTTGTCCTTGCTATTGCTCGCACCCTGTATTCGGGGAAACATTCTCTATAGAAGCTGTGCCTTGCTTCGCTTTCTGCTCACGCTGTCTCCATCTTCTTTCCTCTGACATAAAACCAAGGTCCTGGCTGTTTGTTATCCATAAAGATCCCTAGGCACTTCTCTCAGGAGATGGAGTATTGAAACGCAGTTTCTTGGACAACTCCCTTGAGAGGTATAGCAACTGCTATCCTGGATTGGAGTAGGAGTCTGTGAAGCCCGGCATCCCACCTCCAGCGCCAGCTGAGTCACAGGACGGTGTCAGACACCTCAAAATGGGCGGTTCTGACTTGGATAAAGCTGTTCTACCTGCCTACATTTCCTGTGCCATTTCATTTGGCAACAGCAGTCTAACCCACAGCCGCATCCTACCCCAGAGGTGGCCGCTTTTCTCTGGCACAAGAAATGATTCCAATGTCGAATCTGCAAAAAAGCCAGGTTTTGTCCTGCTTTATACCCTTGTTGCACATAAATCAGGATGCAAATTTGACCCAGTCTGGGAGTTTGGCTGACGTGCTTTGGGATGGCAACGGTTACATTATTATAATTTGACATAGGTGTGCACGACACCTTCCAGAGAGTGTACAATCTAATCCCTGCCCTGAGGAGTTCACCAGCCAATGTAAATAGAAAAAAAACCCCTATGGTGAAAGATTATTATTAAAGTTGCATGGGGGAGCACTTTTCACAGGTGATCACTAATGACATATTCCTGGCTACCAGCCTTGAGACCTTGAGGTCTGATTTGTAGAAGGGCTGAGCATTCACAGCTGCACCCAAAGTCAATGGGAGGTGCGCTTTGAACGTCTAAAGTGCTATGGACTGCTAAGGACTGTGAAAAATCAGGTGTGAGGCATCGCACATTGGGCACCCAAAATGTGGGGGATACTTTTCACCTTAATTTCGCTGGGCCTCATTTTCCTACCCGTAAAATGGGGCAACACCAGCTAATGCCGCCAGCCCTGCCTGGAACACAGAAGGTATCCGTGTGGCCCAGTGACTAGTCAGACAACCTGGGTTCTATTCCCAGCTCTGCTACTGCTGTGACACCTTGGGCAAATCACGGACACGCTATGTCCCCCTCCATCCTTTATCTATTTAGATCGTAAGATCTTCAGGACATAGGTGCTCTGCAAACACCTTATTAGAGACAATCTAACTCAGTGGAGCTCCCAAGGTGAGTTGGGGCTTCTACATGCTATTGTAATATAGATGACAGCATATCGCAAACATGCTACTGTTTGATGATCGTGCATGAGTTCTTAGAGACATATATTATTATTTAGGTAGAGATGGCATAGTGGAGGGAGGTAGCGTTACCTAGGGGATAGAGCACTGCACTGACACTCAGGGAACAGAGGCTATATTCCCAGCTTGGGCACGAGCCTGCTGGGTGACTTTGGGGCAAATCACTTCCCCGCAATCTGTGCCTCAGTTTTCCGATCTGTAAAATGGAGATAATGACGCTTCCCTCCTTTGTAAAGTGCTGATAAAAAGCACTATATATGACCTAGATGTTACATAGATCTCTGTCAAGTCTATTGACCTTGTGGGACTACTTAGTATCATCCCAAAGAGAAAGCGGTGACATTTCATAAAACAATTAGTGATGGAGGTGATAGCTGTAAACCCATCTTGTCATTAGTAACAAATGCCATCTCAGCCTTTTCCAGAATTTGCTGGGGAGACTCATGTTTTCATCGTTAGTTACCACATGACAATGTTGGGCAAACATCCTCTCTAATCTGCTGTATTTACATTCAGCAACAACGTAGCAGGCTACAGCCTGTCACTTGTGGTTTGTGATTAGAAGCAAACTCTGTAATTATGCTGCCTTTTATTTCTGTGGTTAAAAACGATGCTGATTAAAAAGTTAGTGTTAATATTGATGTGCGGGCCTGACAATATCCAAGCTTCAGGGAACAGCTCTCCCTTTTACTCTGGAGATGTGGAAATTAACCCACCGGAGTAAGTCTTGTCCTGCTCTCTCCAAATCATTTTATGTGCTGTTTTCTATACAGTCCATATCACAGCCATAGGTAAAGGGTTTATTGGAGAGGTGTTTGCTGCAGGAGACAGAGCTGAGCAGGTATGGGACAGTATTGGGAACTGGACACACATTTTGCATTTCAGTTTTGAGTATCATGTAGGATCATATAATTTATCCCAACTCGGAGCAATGATTCATTTAATCTCTGACAGTGGTTAGGATCAGAAAATTTGTGGGGAAAAATGTGTGTGCACCTACATCCTCTCACTTTCCAAAGGTTTTATGAAATTCGCCTCCTCCCTCAATGTGGAGGGAGATATGCACAACTTTTTGCCCCCGCCCCAGGTTAGAAATTACATAAACTGGGTTATATTATAAACAAGCAATACATTTATTAACTACAAAAGGTGAATTTTAAGTGAATATAAGAGATAACAGATAGGACAAAGCAGATTACTGACCAAATAAAACAAAGTATGCAAGCTAAACTCAATATACTTAAGAAATGGGTTAAAAATGTATTTTCTTACCCTAAATATTATTTTAGGCAGGTTGCAAAGTTTCTGTGGTTCAGAGTTCCAGTTATATATCTTTTCAGACTGGACCCTGTCTCAGTCTGGACACCTCTCTGCCTTCCCTTCCGGTGGCTTTAGAAGTCTTTTTTCTTGGGCAGACAGGCCATGGAGAGGAGGAGTCTGTTTGCCTTCCTCTCCACCGTTAAATAGGATTTACATAAGGTGGGAATCTTTTCTTTCCCAAACTAGACCCTCCCTTCCCTTCCAGTGGGAAGTTACAAGAAGCCCCAGGTAATTAGGTGACAAGACCACATGACTCTGTAGTATCACAGAGTCCATAAGTCAGTGGCAGTTTGGAGCATTCACAGTCCATTGTCCTTGCTGATGGGTCATCAGCCCTGTCAGGCTTTTCCATTGTTGTACCTGAAGTGTTAGCAGTGGGAGTCACCCAAAGTTGCACAGTTGAAATACAGATACATAGTCAATATCCCTAACTTCAGATACAGAAATGGTACAGGCATGTAAATTGGATAATCACATTCAGTAAATTGTAACCTTTCCAATGATATTTTACAAGACCCATCTCGCTTAAAGTATACCTCAGCGATGTCATAATCATATCATAAGCATATTTTCATAAAGAATATAGAGTGAAATGTCACAATCACAATGATCCCTTCTGGCTTTAAAATACATGAATTCCTTAATTCTACATTGTAGTGTATAGAAATCAGGTAGAATCCTTTAAGGAGTTTGTGAGCCCTCCACTGATGCTCACTGTGTTCTGTTTCTAGAAGCCTTCAGCAACCGATCAGAGAAGCAGTATCTATGTGACTAGGCCATTTATGATTGTGTACAGTTAGTAAATACAGATGTTTGGGACCCAACTTTGCATGTGTTGTTTCTTCATACCATTTTGTTATGTAAAGAACAATAGACACAATATAGACACTACCTGGTCCCATTTGGGGCTCATGAACTAGTGCCCTGAAGCATCCTATTGTTGTTTACGTGAGCACTTCCCTCCAGCTTCACGCTAAGAATGGAGTCCCTCCAGCTCATACTGGTGAAGGTCTAATGAAATCCAGGGAGTCTCTCCCGATTTTCAGCAGGGTAACAGAGCAGAATTTGGCTCATTTCCACTGCAGAGAGAGGATAAAGCAGAGTATCTTTAACATCTGTACATAAAGGAAAGAGAAAATGTACTGCCTAGATTAGAAAGTTCCCTCTCATTCCAGAGACTTGGGCCACAGTATTTGTTTGCATTGATGGCCAAGTAGTTGCTTTCTATTGTGGTTTGGAAATTCTTTTTGTCACTCACATTTCCAAAGCACATTGCAGCAGTATCTAGCCGTTCTGATACAATCTCTGTCCAGTGTGTTTCAGTTGTGATTCAAGCGGTCTCAATGGTCAAAAGAAAAAAAAATCTTGTTGCTCTCTTTCCCTGGCTCCGAGCAGACACCCCAGCCAAAGTTCAGACTTGAAATAACTGATTTCAGTTGAAAGGAACCTACATTTATGTTGTCTGAATTTATGCCTCCACCCCACAGGGGACATAATTCTTCTCTCAGCCACACTGATGTACCGCTGAAGTTAGTGAACTGAATGGAGTCACTCAGATTTACCCTGATATGACTGAGCGCAGAATCTGACCCTCTCTCTAAGACAGAAAATCTCATATTGCCTCTATATGAATCCATGGTACTCCCACATCTTGAATACTGCGTGCAGATGTGGTCGCCCCATCTCAAAAAAGATATATTGGAATTGGAAAAGGTTTCAGAAAAAGGCAACAAAAATGATTGGGGTATGGAATAGCTTCCACATAAGGAGAGAACAACAACACAGGGATTTTTCAGCTTGGAAAAGAGACAACTAAGGGGGGATATGATAGAGGTCTATAAAATTACTTTCTCCACACCAGTCATGAATAAGGAAGTGTTATTTACTCCTTCTTGTAACACAAGAACTTAGGGTCACTCAATGAAATTAAAAGGCAATGGGTATTAAAAATAAACAAAAGGAAATATTTCTTCACACAACGCACAGTCAACCTGTGGAACTCTTTGCCAGAGGATGTTGTGAAGGCCAAGACTATAACACAGTTCAAAAAAGAACAAGATAAATTCATGGAGGATAGGTTCATCAATGGCTATTAGCCAGGATGGGCAGGGATGGTGTCCCTCGCCTCTGACTCCCTGACACTGGGAATGGGCGACAGGGGACGGATCACTTGATGATAACCTATTCTGTTCGTTTCCTCTGGGGCACCTGGCATTGGTCACTGTCAGAAGACAGGATACTGGACTAGATGGACATTTGGTCTGACCC